TATTTATGTATGTATGTATGTATGTCATGTCTGTCTGCATGTGTGTACGTTTCTATGCATGATACGTAGATGCATACATACAGCCAGGCATATACATGCAGCAGGATTGCCGATCTTCACCATGCCATGTTGCATCATTCCCTTGCGCGACCAGCTGTAGTGAGACTTTGATGTCACCAGCATGATGGTTCAACTATGTCTGCACATGCGATCTTGGGGTGACCCTTCTGTGTTCCCGTCGTGCTACGCAGGGTTAGGTCATGCCGCCCACATCGTTATTGCAGGCCTGACGGAACAACTCCACGCTGCCAAAACGACTGTGGAGAGCTTCACCGCTGACGCTCGGGCTGTATCCTTCTCCTTAGATGATTTGTCACCTTAGGTCGAGATTAGCGTTCAGAAATACCTGTTTGGAGCTTTGGCCTTTGGTGTTGCTTTGGTGTTGTCGGACGGGTGCCAATCCCCTTCCCCTTACAAGTCATGTAAAGCTGTGAACCAGGCGGGGGCGAATTGCCGAAAAGGCGACCCGACCCTCAAATTCCGGATCGAGAGTAAGTGCTCGTACCATTGCCAACAAACCCCAACGTCAAACCTCAATTGTCCTGTACCTTGGGCTGCGCTCAACCAAAACATGAACTATGCGTGTCAGTCCTAAAACAGCTCTGGCTTCAGTTTGAAGCTTGTCGGATTCAAAAAAGCTTGGAAGCCTGGACGCCCAGCGTCGTCGTCCATCCTGCACACTGAGGAAGCAGATTTCGCTCGGAGTGATCAAGTGCAGAGCTTTGGCCTTGAATGATGCTTTGGTTTGCTTTTGGAGCTCTTGGCCGAGAAAAGGCCATGTTCAAATTGAGTCGCAAGAAGACAGGACAGAGGGATAATCTGAAAGGGAGAAGGGTTCGTAGATACACATAGATTGGTAGGTAGCTGGTCGCCTGCCGCGCTGTGGCGACGGCCTCGAGGTTCTGTAGATGTGACGGACAAACCTCCAAGCCTACGGGCCGAGACCCGACATTCCTAAATCCTATGAACCCACGGTCGAAGACCGCAAGTGTCACTAAATCCGTAGCCTGGCGATTGTAAGCTTCATCCAAATCTCGACCTTGATATCTCTATTTGCATCGTAAGCATAGGATGGCTTCGGTCGCCGTGGCTGAGTGCGCAGCCCGTGTGGCGAGGGAGGCATGTCTCTTCGGCTCGTTCTTGTAACTTCCTGGTTTTTTCTGGGCCTCAAGAGGATAAACTGTGCAGTGACAAGACCTGCGCGAAGGCAATGGTACTCACTGCAAGCTATGTGCACTGGCCGAGCCCTATTTAAACCTTGAGCCCTTCAAGCTTGTTCCACAACCCCCTAAACCTTGAACTCCACAAACCCAAACCGTCCAGCCGACACTCTGTAATCTTAAAGCTCCCCCAAAAGAGGAGGTGCAGGAGCAGGCCGAAACGGGTAAGTGCACACCCCACGAAGACAGACCAGAATCATGTTTGTTCATGGGTTTTCAGAACGACAATATACCTATGTATGTATACGATTCTGTACTCACACAGCATGCACTGTAAACTGTACGCACACGCATTTCTGTCTACATGTGTGTAGATTTGGGCTGTCTGTTTCTTGTGTACTTACACCGGGGGCCAAATCCTGGTCGGAGGCTGGTCTCGACACTGAGCGACAGCTTCATGCGGCATCGCATGCAGCACGGAAGGCCGCAAGAATGTTGATGACGTTCGGGTTTAGGGCTTTCGATACGGCTTAAGGGTTTAGGGTTAACTTGGCGTTTTAAGATGTTTGGGTGTTTGCAGAGGTGTTCGGGTTTTCTAGGCTGGAGTGATAATTGTAGGTGTGAACTCTACAAGCCCGAGGCAAAAGGGTTTATTATTTTGTGTTAAACGTATAGAGTTCCTGTGGGAAGAGGATCGAGTCTCAGCCCGCCAGGAACTTATTTTCGTGCCGGCTGCACATGAGTGTTGCATCGCAGCCCTCCTCACTCTCTAGCATGGGTTTATCCAAAAAGCCTCCCAGGAGCTCAGAACACCACTTAGACTCACATTGCTGTGTTGAGTATGGGGTGGGTGAACTACTGTTGATGATATGAACCCTGCCTTACCTTAAGGACCCCATAAACTATGGGGATTATATGGTATATTCCTTGTTATGGGTAATATAAATCTTAGGGAGCCTACACTATGATTGTGGTAAATTACTTATTATGGGTAATATAAATCTTAAGGAGCTTAAACTATGGGAATTATGGTATATTCCTTATGGTGGGTAATGCAGGATTTACATCATCAGCCGTAACCCTAAACCCCTAAACCCTAAACCCCTAAACCCCTAAACGCAAACCCTGAACCCTAGACCCCTAAACCCCAAGTGTAGGTCAACCATAGAAGCCCTTTCAGGCTGCCCGGCAGGCTGGAATGACCGATCAGGACACAAAAGGGGGGGGGGGGGCTTTGGGGGTTCTGGGGTTTAGGGTTTAGGGTCTAGGATTTAGGGTTTAGGGTTTAGGGTCTAGGATTTAGGGTTTAGGGTTTCGAGTTTTGGGTTTAGGGTTTAGGGTTCTTCGGGCCCGAAGACTTCCGGAGCTTAGATGAGAGAGTGTAAGGTCTGCGAGTTACATAGCGGTTTTGCTCTCTGCGGAATATGAGGGGCTTTGGGGTTTAGTGAAGTCCCGTTGATTCGGATCGGGTTCATATCGGTTTCGGACAGCCGCTCGGCATCGCAAGATGTTGCAGGTCGTTCTGCTACATACAAGGCGCAAGCTCGCTATTTTTGTTTCAGTGCCAGCTGCGGTCAGGAGCAGTGGCAGCAAGTGACGACAGCTGCCGCCGCCACGGCTCTGTTCCTGGCAGATACTCCGATGACGAGGCTCACGACAACCCTCGCCCCCCTGCGTTCACCAAGACTTCCTGAACTTTCTCAGGTGTTTGGACATTCCGAATCTTTCGCACGGTAGTTTCTGTTTCTGTCTCTGGCCCGAAGCCCTCAAACGGTTCGCAAAACAAGACCCGAACTCTCAAATTGGAACCGTGAGCCGAACCCTGAACATAAGCGGTTTTAGCCTGCATCCTAAACAAAAACGCCCTAAACCCTAACTCCTAAACCCTATAAACTCTAACCCCTCAAACCTAAGCATTAAATATAAACCCTTACACCCCATAAACCCTGTAAAACCCTAAACCCTAAACCCCCAAAAGCAGACATCGAAGTGAGACCTACTTTGGTGAATAATAAATGAGCTTGAAGAGAGTATCGTGGTGGACCTTGCCAGGCTTGTCCGAGTGTGAGTGTCAAAAGACCCTCAACCCTAAACCCTAAACCCTAAACCCCCTAAACCCCCTAAACCCCCTGTACCCTAAACCCTAAAACCCCCAAAACCGAAAACCGACTTGAAAGTCTCATGCAGGGATCAGCGCAGCCGCGAAGCTCGGCTTGCTGCTCAAAAGGCCGGACGCCTCGGCTTTTGGGGTTTAGGGTTTATAGGGTTTAGGGTTTATAGGGTTTAGGGTTTAGGGTTTAGGGACCCTCACAGGGTTTAGGGCTTATAGGGTTTAGGATAAGTTTAGGATAGGTTTAGGGGTGTAGGGTCTAGGGTACCATAGCCCAGGTGCATTAAAAGGGATACCCTCTCAGCCTCACGTACAAGCTGTATATTCTTACACGTCCTATTTTTTGGCAGGATCTCCGGGTTCGGCACATTTCTACAGTTTTTGGGCCATGAGGGACAGTTTGCAAGCGTGCAGACCCGTCGTGATAGGCTTACCCACCGGGTTCAGTTAAAACCTCCACTTACACGACAGCTCAGCACAGACGGTCAAGCTGATAAGTATTGCGGCTGCACCCATATGTTGGTACTTCCTTGCTTGCTTCGCTCACATCATTCCGTCATGTGCAGCATCAACAATAGTCATGTTACTAGTGATAGTAGTAAATAAAGGACAAGGAAACTACAATGGTAACAGTCGGAATTAACAAACACAGGCCAACTAGCCAGCACTACAATGCTCAAAAAACTAAACGATCATTCACAGTAGAGATATTCACAGTCACGGTACGTATGAGAATGCCAATGCCCAGAGCGAGCCAAACTAATCGCAGCAGCCGCAGTCATTATCACGACCGACCGCTAGTCTCCGTCGTAGTTTCCAATTTCGGTTAGCTGATAGGATCCTCACTATGTAAATATGTATGGTGAGACCAAAGACAGGAACCACAATCGAGACTACAGGTGCGGCACGAGGCTCCGAGTCTTCAAAAGATAGCTTTCGACGAGGTCTCACTGGTCTCGCCCTTCGCACCTGAAGTCCAGGCTCATCCCTGGTGCCGGGTTGGGAGTCGGATGACAGGTCTGAAGTGTTTGTGGTTTGAAGGTTTGCATTTAGTTGAGCCACTTCGCGTTTGGCAGTTACGGTTGTGGGATATGTTTTGTCGGGCTTGTGGGAGAGGTTTCAGAATTGGGGTGAGGACCGGATGATTGCGGATTCGGCACAGGTTTAGGGGTACCCCACGGCAAGCGCCGTCTATGCCGATTTATTACGCAGTATTCTGCTATTTACAGGCTACAGGCAACATCAACAGCACAAGTGGCCGGCCATGCCGTTGGCATGAGTTCACCTTTTAGTTCCTGCAAGTCAATGATCGAGGTGCGTTTCCTGTGGCCTGTCGTTGGAACAGGAAGGCACGATGTCGGCAGTAATGCTTGTGCTCACGCAGGCACCTGCGACAGTGCCGGTGGACAGATGGGACATGATGTCAATGCCGTTGAAGAGCCAAGTGCCGGTGATGCTTCTCTTGCACATCCAATTGCACGTGGACCACGATGCCAATGTTGGTGTCAGCTGCATTGCGGATGTTATCAGTGCTCATGAGATGCACAGGTGGTGGTTGCGTGCTTGGCTGCAAGCGTTTCGGTGAAACGGACTGGCATGATGCGGCTGATGCGGCGTTCGTCGCTGCATAAGCATGTGAACCAGAACGGGTGAACAAAAAGGAATGGTTTCGATGATGTTGGAGCACGCCCAATTGGTGCTCAGACGACGTTGCTACCAGCGGTTAGCTTGTTTCCATCATGCAATCATATACAAGCTTTCAATTTCTGGAAGCATACATACCACTATAATTGTCTTAATTTATAATCCTTCCAAGAATTATATGGCCCTACAGCGCATGAGTGCATGACGTCGGCAAGACCTGCAGCGCCGAGCCTTTGCCCTAGGCTTTCCCTTGAAATGGAGACGATCTATCGTGATCCATCATGTGCATGAGCATAACACGAGCTACCCATCGAAATCGAAACGCTCACAGCTCCTGACGCTGCATCAGCATCATGATCCCCTTGCAAACAGGTCGCGCAGTCTGCCAAGGCCGGATTTCGGGGGTTTGCATTTTAGTACTAACTACTATGTTTGTCCATTGGTGTGTATATGCATTCTGTGGCCACCTGTGAAGTTGTGTTCAAGCATTGCCATGGTTAGGACTCCTATGATGAAGAAGCCAGGAAGCCCCTAAACCCTAAACC